CACAGTCGGCAGGCAAAGTGCGCCAGGCGCCTTTGGGGCCCAAGCGTGCCAGGCGCGCCTGGTGTGCCAGATTCGCCACGCACTCCACATGTGCCCAGTGTACCACGTGTTCCACCCGCTGGTGGTGTTGAAGGGCACGAGCCAACACACATCGGTGAACATGCCCGCCACCCACCACCCCCATCAAAACGAGCGTTAAGTGGCGGCGGGTTGGCCATGATGGTGCGCGGCATGAGCAGATGGATAAGTTGGAAGTGGTTGCTGACGGGGATAGTGGACCCGCACACACCAGACAATATGATCCGTCACCCACGCATGTTCCAAGAGTTTGCAGCATAGTGTATGGTGTATTGAGTGGTACAAAGATTGCACGGGGTGCATGTTTCCTGGTGTGTCGTCTGTTAGATGGGGGGTTGATAATCAGGAGCCGAAATACACACCTCACCGATAGAGGGGTTGGTGTGATGACGACGACCACATTTCCAAATTTGGGGCGTCTGGGGGCCAGCGGTTCGCTGTGGCACCCGCGTCACGCCTGGCCACATTCCCGGCCCGAAATTGTGCGTTGGCTTCAGTTGTCGGGAGTTCGATGGACCGCCGCCCGTCCCGATTAGCCCCGAATGGATATGGAATGGCCGTCGGCCCATCCCGCCACTGCGTCTGGGTTGTGGGCCCGAGGCCTCTTGGATGTTCGTTGGGATCTCGTCGAGGCATTTCAGGGGCCTCCTGGAAGCATGTTTGAAGCCTCCCAAAGGGGGCTGCTTGGGGGCCTTTGGGGGGCTTTGGGGGGGCTCTTGGGACCTCGTGGGGGCCTCTTGGGGGCCTTTTGGGGGCTTCTTCGGAGCGTTCGGGGCCTCCTGAGCGCCTTTTGTGGCGGAAGGCTCGGTTTGAGGGTTCGTGCTCCCCTTGTTGCGGCAGTTTTGAGGCCGTCTTGGGCGCCTCTTGGGCCGTCTTGGAGTCTTCTTGGGTCATTGTAGGGCCCTCTTGGGAGCCCTTGGGACCTTTTTGGAGCGGTCTTGGGGACTCTTAGTCCGCTTTCGAGCATCGTAAGCTCGAAAGGTGGAAAGCCCAAACAGCATTGAACATTCAAGGGAAATCAATGATGTTGGCCTCGCGGGGCCCTCTTGGGAATGCTTTTGGGCGTCTTGGACCGATCGTGCGGCGATTCGGGACACCCTTGGAGGATCTGGGCGGCCTCTCGGCGCCCTCGTGACCCATCTTGGGGCCCTCTCGGTTCCGAGAGAAAGTCTCGCGCAACCACGCGATGCGGCCCAGCGGGCACGCGGGGAGCCCCAGGAGATCTGGCAATGTAGGGTCCAGGCCCAGGATTGAGGACTGAGGCTCCAGTGGGTCGAACAAGGGACCCGAGAATACTCCAACTCGTGCCTCGAGGGCACGTTGGCGGATCTACTTTGCTTTATTGGGAATCAGGCTGGCCGCTATTGGCCCCGAGCGGCCCCGGTTAGCCCCGAGAGCCCGAGGTGGCAACACGCCCTGGCTTGTTGGGACTTGTTGGCCGCCATTGGCCCAGTGATTGAGCTGAGCGTTCCCGACTCTCCCGATTCGAAGCGCCTCGGCCGGGAGGGTGGGGGACAGGACTTTCAAGCAGTGGCGAAGCGTCCCGGCTTGCCTATAGGCACACCAAAGAATGTTCTATGAATTTGTATGGTCTGCACGAAATATTCTTAGAACATGTCTAGCTGGGACTGTCTTGTGCGCACTGGCCGCGGCCCGGCAAATGAGCGAGGGGTGCTGGAGCAGAAGACGCCTTGCCAGCCCATCCGAGCAGCAGCTGGCACGCCCTACTCCCCCTCCTCCTCCTCCTCCTCCTCCCGCTCCTCCTCCTCCTCCTCCTCCTCCTCCTCCTCCCTCCTCCTCCTCCTCCCTCCTCTCCTCCTCCCTCCTCCTCCTCCTCCTCCTCCTCCTCCCTCCTCCTCCTCCTCCTCCTCCTCCTCCTCCTCCTCCTCCTCCTCCTCCTCCTCCTGCACTCCTCACATTGCCCTCTGCTCTCCGTCCAGCATGCTCTGGGCTAATCCGCCAATTGGGGCACAGTCAAGACCGGCGCTAGGGATGGGCCCTTGTCGCAAGAGCACATTGCATCCTTCGGCCCTGGCCAGCTTTAACCCGAGCTCCTGGCGTTGATTTTTTTTCACGACGGGCGTTCTGGCCCAGTGTCGGGCCCCAGGGCCCTCACAGATCGATCCTGTTCGAAAAATAACGCAAAAAGATGGGCTCCAGGGCTCCAATTGTTTCGCAACGTCGGATCTCAGGGTAGCACGTCTGAGCGCGCGCATCCTTGGCTTTCGCGCCGTCCCGAGGTTCCTGCACCCTCAAGCTCCTTCCGCATCGGTGGTGTTGACTGCAGGGGCGCGCCCCTGACCCGGGTCAAGGCCGAAGCTCTTGGGAAGTCTCCGGAGACTCCTGGAGGCCAGAAAAAGGGCCCGAACACACAAGCACACGCTTTCTCCGTCAGCGGCAAGGCAGAGGTAATCCGCACCAGCGAGAGGCGATTCGGGGCAACCGAAAGGCGAACGCACGCACACGCACGCACGCACGCACGCACGCACGCACGCACGCACGCACGCACGCACGCACGCACACACGCACGCACGCACGCACACACACACACACACACACACACACACACACGCACACACACACACACACACACACACACACACGCACACACGAAAACAAAAATCCTCGAGGGTCGAGGGTAGAACTGAGAGGGCCCCCATTGCTCCTCGGCGCCCATGCCACCGTCCGCGGCGCGGTGGTCCGCCCGCGAGCGCGCCCCTTCCGCCGCCGAGAGCCGCCGCAGTCGTCCGAGAAGCTCCTCCTCCCCCTCGAGCTTGGCGCTTGTGAGCTCTGGTGCCGCCCCAGATCCTGACCCCTGGGAGCCCTCTGGAGGCCCGGCGAGTGCCAAGAGGCACGCCCAAGCTCGACCGTCCTAATGGGGCGCCGAAGGCAAAGAGTGCGGCTCGGCGCCACAACAGTTCAGCACACGAGAGCAGAAGTCGGCATGCCAGCAGGTGCCCCACGGAAACTTCTGATCCCCCAGTGGCCCCAGGGACCCACAGAGGCTCTGGGGGCACCCCGGGGCCCTCGAGGACCGACGCAGAATGCGCCCCAAGATTCCTCACAATAGCCATGTTCATGGCACGTGCCCTGCTGTGCTTGGCACTTCTCCCGCCGTCCGTGGCGCGGAGGGCCGGTGCCACGAGTTCGTCCGCAAGGGCAAGGGGCTCCGCGACGCGGCGGCCGCGGCCGCCGCGGCGAGGGCGGAGGCGCGCGAGGCGGGGACGCGCGCGCGCGTCGCGTTGGGCGGCCCTCGGCGGCCCTCGGCGGCCTTCGGCGGCAGCGCGGAGGGGGGCAGCGGCATCGGCGTCGGCGTCGTCGCCGCCAGAGACGAGGAGGACACAGGGAGGCAGAGGGCTTGCGTCTCGAATGCGTGCGAGTCGAGGCCTGTGCGGACATAGCTCCGTGCGGTTTCTGTTGGCTCCGGGCTTCCGCGCCGCACGAGGGGGCGCAGGAAGCAGGCTAAGGGGAGCGGGGAGGAGCAGCAACGAAACGGGGTGGTGAGAGGAGGCGAGGGCGCGCGGCGCAGCGGGTGCGAGCAATTGCCAGACTCAATCGGGGCCGCCTGGACGTCTCCTGGGGCGGCCTCTGCGGGACATTGTGGGACTTGCGGTCATGAACTCTGGCTCGGCGTGTCGCTCCGCCGGTTCTGGCCCAGCACGCTTCGGCGCGACACGCTATCCACTTCCGGGTCCCCAGGCGTCAACGTCACGAGGCTTCGCCCGGCCTCCAGCCCCGTGCAGCTAGGCGACACGCCATGCGCTCGCAAGGCGCGGCGTGTCGCCGGGGCCGTCGCCGCGACACGCTAAAGCAAAAGTTCCCGACCGTGCTGGGGGTGTTGTTTGCAGTTGTCAAGCCGTTTTGGGAGGTCGTGGTCGGAAGAAATCGCATAGTGGTTGGTGGCCGTGACGGGAAGATCCGAAGGCGGCCGTGAGGCGGCGTGTTGCCAGGTGGGGCCGTCTTGAGCGGGTCTTTGGCTCTCTTGTGGCCAGTGATGGAGCATCTTGGAGAAACGGAATGCAGCCCTGAGGGGAGATATTCACAGACGGTCTCATGTAGGATTTAGGCTTCGGTTCCCCGCTGGAAGGCCAAATATTTTTTGACTTGAGCAAACGGCGAACCCATGCTAACATCGATGCGGCGGGGCGGGCATGAGGACAAGCTATTCATGCGCAAGGAGCAGAACTAAGAACAACCCATGGGCCCAACGCACACCCGCCGCAGCAAAGTTCAATAGTGGACACCCCTACGTATAAACAAAAAGGCAATGAAAAACATGTAGCGACCCGTGCCTAGCTGAAGATATGGCAGCATATGCAGCCATGGTTGTCTGAGGAGTTTACAGTTATGTTATTGTGCAAGCGAATTCCTCAGGCCTCAAAGTACCGCGGGCAGGACGCAAGCAAGGCTGGGTAATCAGTCTGCCCATCGCGTGGTCAAGATGACATTACAGGTCCATTCGGAGTTGGGTTCCTGATGCAGGCTCCCAAGGCCATACAGAAACGTGAACGAACAGCAGTGCACACAGATCGCCACTACTTGCCTTCCCATGCTCTATACTCCTCGACTTCGCCTCGTCCTCATCTTCCTCGCCATGCTGTGCGCATCTACCTTTCACTCCTGGCAATCCCCCTTTGTCTGTTTCAGATATTTACACCCCGGCCGCCTCTACTGTCAGACGCATTCAATCAAGTATATTTGCAAAGGTGCAAATAAGCAAGCGGCCATGCAAGCACACAACCAAGTAAGTGAACAAGCAATTGAGTATGTACACATGGAGGTGACAATATCCAGAGGCTTCTACCACAAACCGCTCCCTTGGGGGGCTTCTACAATTTCCCACGGGCAAGTATGATTGGAGAATGGTGGGTTGTGTTCATCCTAAGCATGGCCATAAACACCACTGACCCCTTGTACGGTTTGCTCGAGCCATCAGTGGTCGACTGTGTGTCGGCAAGAGCCCACGTGTCTGCGATGCCGACCAAACAGCAGAATCCGTCATTGGGAATGCAATTCGCAGCAAGCAGCGACAACGTCGCTGTTTTTGCGACGCCCGAGTCGTGGACAGTGTACCGACGGTTGAAGAAAGGGGAAGTCGTCCACGCAGCCGGCCCCGCGAAGAAAGTCGGAAAGCACCAAATGCAGCCCATTGTTCCCGAGGGTGCCGTTCAGACCGATTTCTTGCGTCCTGTACGCCATGACAGTAAACGTGCTGAATTTGTCACTGGCCATTTTACGGTGAGCAAGCACTGGAATTTGCCTCTTGCAAAGGTCACATGCAAGGACACGGGTTTCTGGAAGGGCTCTCTCAGTAAGCTGCTCCATATCGAGGGCAGCATCACCATCAGAGATATTCGCGTCAATTTATCGCCATGGATAGACAAAGATACACGCGCCAAGGCCCTCCACACAGTCTGTGTCAGGTGGGAAGCGGAGGCCGAGAGGGGCTCGCCCTTGTCCCAGTTCGAGGTTGGAGAGTTTTTCGAGGCTGAGTGGAAGAAGTTCACACGTGGCTCTTGCAATAGCGTAGAGGACCGCAAGGTGAGCACAGATTCAGAGTCTAATCCGACTGAAATCTCTGCCAGAAGATGGACAGCTTACTGGGACAATCACCCCGAATTGCAAACAGCTGATCGTGCAACAATGCAGGAAGCGTATACTCGCCTTCAAGAAAGTTGTGGAGAACCGACCTCTGGCAAAGTATCTTTCTCTCGAGTAGCCCATTTGCTCCGTGCGACAGGTCGGCAAGAATATGGGACATGGGAAGACTCCGGCGGCAAACCTCCATCCATCAGCCAAAAGAACGACGCGCAAGTGGCTGCTGCTTTAGCTCAATACATTGCCAAATGTGGAGGTTTCCTGCAGGCTAGCTCAGTCAGCTCCTTCTATGAGAAAGACGCTTCCTTTAGGGAGGTGACTCAAGAGGCTGACGCCATTCCGCCGGCCCCCAGAAGAGTAGATGCGCGGCGTCCGATGTCGTATGTGGCACGTGCTGCTTCCAGTCGTGCTGCCCGTGTGCAGTTGTTGTTGATGCGTCCTCCTCTTCCTCCGCGCCTGTCGCAGGGGCGTTTGGGGGGGGCCTCGTGGGCGGCGTCTTGGATCAGGAGGGAAAGAAACACACAGACACAATTATTCGGCGATCCACAAGAAAAAATAAGAAAATATGGGAATTGGGGGGGGAAGAAAGAAACCCAGAAAATATGGGAAAATATGGGGAAATCTTTTTATTTGTGTGTATTTCTTTGTGTGTCCCAGGGCCCCTTCATTGGAGCCGGCTCATGGGGCCTGGGGGGGGGAAGCGGAGCTTTTTCGGGTCTTGTGGGGGCATGCTGAGGTCATTGGGGGCCATCTTACGGAGGGGGGGGGCTCCTGGGGCCCCTGCGAGTTCCCCCTTCTCGGGTATCTTTTGGGCCCTCTGGGGGCATGTCTCACGCGCGCTTTCGCCCCCAGGCGAGCGGGTGGCGGCGGATTATTGCAGGAGGCCGCAAGCTTCGACAATTTTGCGATGAACATCCGTTTTGGTTGCGGTTCAGTCTTGAGGGAGGGCCTCCAGGGACAATTTTCGCCGCGCAGAGTTCCAATGAGGACCGAGCACATGATATCACGTCCGCAGGCGTCGCAGGGGCCAACGTCAAAGACGCGGAGGTTGCAGCCAAGCTTTTGCAATATATCGAAGGCCGCGGCGGCTCCATTTCTGCAGAAGGCATGACCGAGTACTACAAAGAACACCCCACGCATAAGAAAATCGAAGGCGCCTGCGGCGCATCACCGGCCGCCCCTTGAAGGTAGCGCCCAGGAGCGGGAAGCAGCGGTGCAGTGAGGTAGCGCCCCATAGTCGTGGTTTTGCATGTTATAGTTGTTAATATGCCTCTTGTAGGGCTCCTGGCGGCCCTTCGAGGGCATCCTTGAAGACCTCTATCCGCGTTCCGTGCTCATGTTTGCGGGCCCTCTTGGGATCGGGTTGAGCACACGTGGAGTCAGTGGAAGCATTCTTGTGGTTCCGTATGGCTATATCCGGGGAGCCACCCATTCACTGGTTCTTGTAAGGCCGTCAGGTGTCACTGTGGCAGAAGTCTCGGTCTCAGCATTAGGAGTTCGCATGCGTTCACATTGTCAGATGTCCGGCGCCTCAGAATTCATAACATCAGCATTGGTAAGTCGACATGCTGCTAATAATGCCGCTAAGTTGCTAAGATGATTAAAACAAAGTATGTTGCTTAGTTGAACTAAGACCTGGGCCGCGCAGTCAGATGGCATGGCCCCTTAGGGGGGGACTGGCGGATAGTCACCCATGGAGGGCGTACCTTGCGCGAGTTCTGCGAGGAGCACCCGGATGCCTTCAAGTACGAATTCAAGGCTGGTCAGACCGCGACAATTTCTTCCACGCGGGTGCCAAAGCATGTCTGTACTGGGCCCGGTCGGAAGGCTGCTGGCGGGAGTCTGGAGCCAGAGCTTGAAGCGTTGCGGTGCAGATTGGTTGCCCTGCTGAAAGAAGCCGGTGGGCGTATTCTTGGCAGCGTATTAGGCAAGCTTTACATTGAGAACCCATCGTGGCGCGCCGCAGTGAATGAGGTCGGAGGGATGAAAGGAATGTGCAAGCGGTTTGGCGGCATGCACGTGAGCGTAAGCTCTTCTAGCACCGCTGAGATAGTACTCGAAGGTGCGGAGGGAGCCAGAGCAGCCCTCGATGACGGTGCGTCCAGCGATACAGTCCGAACGTCGACGGCGCGTCCAGAGTCCAGCGAGCTTGATGACGCTGCGTCTAACGATGAGTCCAGCGTTAATGATGACGCTTTCACAGCATACAGACACGAGATGCGATTGCTAGTAGACAACATATGGTGGTCCCACGATACGATCACGGTTCGATTTACGGACGGGAGGTTACTTGTGGACACACTGCGTCAGTTGCTGGATGGGGAGTTGGAGGTTGACGAGCTCCCTCCATTCGACGTGTGGGAGCACGAGGGCCAGTGGCACGCAATCACCGGCAACCGCAGACTGTGGGTGCTGAAGGAGTTCTCGAAGGCACGCACCACGAGGCTTCACGTCCGCGTCAACCGCCTCGATCCGCAGAGCGCCCCCTGCGAGGGAAAGGCGAAGCGAATGTGGGCGACGCGGACACAGGGGAAATCCGTGCAGTTCGTGGTGCAGCGTCGCGACAAAGCACACTTCCCGTGCATGGCCTTCGCCCTCGCCGAGGCCGGACTCCGCGAGGGGGGAGGGCCGAGCCCAGTCGACATGTTGCTCGGTGGTGCCATCCAGGCAGCCGGTGGCAGCATCGGGATGCCTGAGCTCGGATCTGCTCTGCACTGGGGGACTGCAGCGACTGCGGCAATGGGGAAGCTCGGCCGCTATCCAGCTGCCTGCGGCAACCCCCTGCGGCAACCCCCGCCGCCGTGCCAGCGCGAAATGCATGCGGGGTGATTAGACCGACGTCTCCGAAGAGGCTCGGTCGTACCATCTTGGCGCCTCTGGGTAGGTCTTTGAGCCAGCTTGGAGACCTCTTGGCTTGCGCTGTCTCGGATTGCTCTTGGGCCATCTTGGGAACTCCTGGGCCTCTCTGAAACCTCCCCGAGGGCACCTTTAGCCGAAAAGCTTCGCAGACGAAGAAACATTGTTGTCAGACATTTCTTGTGTTACGCATGTTGGCCTCGCCTGAGGCCTGTTTGCGCGCCTCTTGGGGGCTTCTTGGGCCTCATGGGGACCCCTCGGAGCTTCTCGGGGGGGCATCTTGTGGCCTTTGGGTGCTCTTGGGGCTTTTCCAGGCTGCAGTCTGGTTGGGTCTGGTGGCCCTCTTGGAACTCTCCCGGGCGGGTCCGCGCCCGTCTTCGGGGGCGGCGAACTCTGAACCGCGCCTGCGACGAGGGGGCGCCACCCGGAAAACGACCACCAGAAACCCTACAGGCCAGCTAACGGGCAGCACGCTCCAGCGTGCCGACGGCACGGCAGCAGATCTTGCGGGCCGGCCCCATCTCTTTGATGTGTTGGATGGCCCCAATGGGCGCGTGATGTTTTCATCGAGTTTCGCCCGAGTGGCAAAGCGGCAGCAGCCTGCAAACGCGCAGCAGTGCTCTGAACTTGGCGACTGGGAGACGCTCGCGCAGTCCTTGATCAGCGTGCAAAGCACCCCGTTGCTAACGAAAGCGGCACCGCAGTCTGCCTTGCCGCCGCCACCTAGCAGTGGTGCCGAGCGAACGTCTGCCGCACATCATCGGTCGGCGTTTCTGCCGTCTCAGACACAGTTGGCAGTCGCAAGCGACAGCAGAGGAAGCCTGGCTGCATCTTGCGACCCTTGGTTCCAAAGCGGCACGGACCCATGGCAGGTGAAATTGTCTTCTTCGAACAGCGGCGTCTCCAGCATCTCTGAAAGTGATCCATGGCAGACGTGGCACAAGCAAACAGAGGACGAGGTTCCTAAGTCGGCAGCTGCGCAAAAACCTATTGGTAGCATCGATTCCGAGCAAAGTCCAGAGCTGCAGAGAAGCTTGTCGGGAGGGCGGGTGACGATTCGGCTTGGAGATCATTTGTCTGACACGCCTGTAACATACCCGATGTGCTCCCCTGGGACACTTACAACTGGAATCTCATTATCAGACATGTCCACTCAGACCGTCGAGCAGGTAGGTGGGGAGCGCACTTTATTGCAAGAGGGCGTGACCGAGTTGCCAGTGTGGAAGCACACGCACGGTGCAGAAGCAGGGCAGCTTTTGATCCCAGAGGTGCGCCAGCTTCCGATCCTGGATGTTCAGGAGGATCTCGAAAGTGTCTTCGCGTTGATCCCACCTGGCCTCATCTCTCAGGCGGTCGTCCAGGGCTTCCAAGGCGCTAGCCAGTTGCTGCGGTCCGTTGTGATTCAAGTGGGTGCCCGACCCCAGGGTTTCAGTGGTGCATCGCACACGTTCTTGCATGATGATTCCAGCATCATTGTTCTTCCGCCGCATGTGGAATCGATCGTCCGCGTCATCGGCGACAGCGCCGCTGGCATGATCGGAGATTCTCTGCACCGGATCAGCTACATGAGTGCACCAGCGAGTGGCAAAGTCTGCGGGGTTATGATACGGGTGGGCCGCGCCATTCTTGGCGCGTGCAGCTTGGTGGCTGACCTCCTCACGGACGCGCAGCGCTCCCTCGTGGTGCTTGGCGCAGTCGGCACCGGGAAGACCACCGTGCTGCGAGACGCGGCACGGCTCCTGGCACAAGACCGCGCCGTGGTGGTGATCGACCAGGCAGGCGAGGTGGGCGGCGGAGGAGCGGCCGTACACCCGTCGTTGGGCTCTGCATGGCGCGTGGCGGTGCCCGCAGGCGAGACACAGATGACGGCCATCATGGGGGCCGTGGACAGCCACGCTCCCGAGGTGGTGGTGGCCGACGGCATGGAGCCCGCGATGGCGATGGATGCCGCAGCGTACTGCAGGACTCGGGGGTGGCAAAGAGGGGGGTGATGATTAGGGGGGGGGGTATCATGGTGGTGGCCATGATATTTTCCCAGATTTCACGGCGCCTCTTCTTATTTCAATACGTTCCTTGCCCCCCCCCCCCTGGGCCGCGCACATGCCGCCAGCCATGATTTGCAACCCCCCCTCTTGGCCACCCCCCTCTTGGCCGCCCCCGAAGGACGGCTGGCGTGAGGCTTGTCTGCTCGGCGCGGGGTACTCTGCAGAGCTTTGTGGACCTGCTGGCCGCGGGCGCTCCAAGGTCAGAGGATCAGAAAACTGCAGAGGCACGCAGCCACGACGCTGAACTAACACATTCACTTCGGCCCGGCACCGCTCGGACGCGTGCACTTTTCGCTTGGCGAGGCCAGCACCCGAAACTCTGAACCATCTTCGAGTGCACTGGACCACCTGGACAGAAATGCACGCACGAAACCAGACAGTGCCCGGGGCTTGGTGATCGTTGTCTGATTCATTGTTTTGCCGGTCGGCGCGGCCCCTCGCACCCCCCCTCCCCCCCCCCCCCGTGGAGTAGCTCTTGGCTGTCTTTGGCGCCCGTTTCGGGCAGGTGGAGCCTCCCCAATAGGGCGCACTGCTGTAAACAGTCGCATCCAGCAGAGGTACGAAGCCAGACCCCCCCCCCCTCCACCCACCCCTTTCGCCCAATGTCGAAACGCCGAGCAAGAAAGCTCTCACAATGGGACGTCCCAAAGAGGGCCAGCTGGGTTCAGGACAGGCCCCGCGGTTGGTCTTGTGGATGCTCGTGCCATGGCCTGGTTCTTCGAGACGATGGCCACTCTCTGGTGGACCCAAAGTGGGGTCCAGCTGAAGGGGGGTGGTGCAAGAGGTTTGGGGCAGTTGTGTTGCAAATGTGTTGCGCCAGAGCGTTGTATTGCAAATGTACCCTGAGCAGGCTGCGCCTCGGATCTACAGGTCGGGGGGGCCCTGCGTGCCCGAGCCTGGCCCGGCCCAGGGAGGCCCCTTCGTTCCCTACTCGGCGCTCCCAGCGGCACAGTGGAGGCCCATGCCAAGAGACACCCTGCTTGCCTCCAGGGTGCCCTGGGTTTCTTGGGTTTCGAGAGTTCTGCTGTGGAAAGCGCGACGTTCCCACCCCCAAGCATCAATGGACGTCCTGGGGTCTTCGGGTTGGGTTGCTCGTGGAAGGTTCCTTGTGGACTGGCCTTCACTGTAAGCCCTTTCGTTCCTTGTTCAGCGTTCCCTATGGTAGGACGACGACTGTCAACTTTCAGCGCTCCGCGCGGATGTCTTGGCTTCGCGTTAGGCCCCCCTCCCTGGCGCGCAGAGCGCGCAACGGGCGGCGCCAGAAGCGCCGCCAGGGAAGGCCAGCGCAGAGGATCCGCGCGGAGCCCCGAAGGTTTAAGGGTTCTGCAGCTGCCTCTTCTCCGAAAGGCCCCGCCATGGCACCTCAGAGCCTCGGAGCGGCAGGGAGCAGTCGTACCAAACGCCGATCGGCGCGCTGGTGGAGCTGCCCCGGTCTCCCTCCGACGCCTGGAAGCTGGTCCTGGACAGCGGGCATGCTGCGAAGTGCTTCTCGGAGGGAAAGCCATACCCGGTCCATCTCCGCTCAAGGCATCCGTTGGAGACGGAGGCTTACTCACAAGCCCGCTCGAGATGTCCCCCACCGAGGTGAGCGCACGCCGCAGCACACTGCAGACGAGGCCGCGCATTCTGCGCCGGCAGGTTCTGCCGTCTTCGGGTCTGGCAGACCTCCGTCGCCTCGGTTGTTTCAGTGCGGCGTCCCGGGGAAGCCCCGACCCCTTCCCCTGGGTCCGATCTCACTTTCCGGACGCATCTTTTATGTCGGGGGTTGGGGCGCGAAGTCGTGGGGGTGGCGACAAATGAGGGGGGGAAGAAAGGTGCCCTCCTCGGGCCCTAAAGGGGCCCCGTCTGGGCCCTGAAGGGCCCCTGTAGGGGCCCTCAACGGGCCCCTTTTCTGCAGCCCTCGCTGCCCCCCCCCAATTGGTCGCCCCCCCACTGACGCGCGCCGATTAGCAGACAATAAGAGACGGCCGACGTGCAGCCACTCCCGCAAAGCGGCGAGGTTTGGCTGGCATTGCATCATTTTGCCTACGCGCTCCGGCGTTTGGCTGTTCGTTTCGTTTCGCACTGATTCGCTCCCAAGGGGCGCCCAAGAGTGGGGGGGGACGAGGAGCTGGGAGGGACGAGGGGCCACGGGCTAAGAGGGTTGCATTCTGGCGGGCTTCCAGAGGCCCCTCGCGGCCGCACGGTGCCCCTCGTGGGTCTGGCCGGCGGGCGGGTCCCGCTCGGCACGGATCCAACCCCACTGAGAAGCAGGGCAGGCCGCTCGTGCTTCGGCTGCTGCAGAGGGCGCCCCCTGCTGCACACGGAGCGAGGGCTCCTCCCCTCTCCCCCCGCCTCCCGCCCCCACCCCCTGGCTGGCCTCGAGCCCCAGCTGGCCTCCCCCGCCAGCCACGACCACGCTGGGCATCATCTGCCGTTGTGCAAGACCCGCTCGCCCCTCTTGGGGTGACCAGGGGCCGACTCGGGCTTTGGGTGAGGACCTCCCGCGCGGGGTTCTCCCAGCGCGGATTTTCTTGAATCCGCGCGGATTTGTTGAATCCGGCGGCGCCTCTGGCGCCGCCCCTGGCGCGCTCCGCGCGCCAGGGAGGGAAGTCCAGCGCAGATCCAAGAAATCCGCATCGCCGAAAGTTCATGCTAATGGCGCTTTGTCTCCTTCTAGCGAGGGCTCCTCCCGCAGGCGCGAGGCCAGGACGGCGGCCCAGCGACGGCGAGTTGTACGCCACGCCCGATCGCGAGGGTCGGGAGTCCTCGGGCCCCGCCAAGCTCCCGCCGTGCCCGCGGAGCGCGAGGGCGAGAGGCCTCGCGCCGCGGGCGGCCCGCCCTCTGCCCGCCTGCCTGCTTGCCTGCCTCGCCTGCCTGCCTGCCTCGCCTGCTGCCCTCCCTCCCCCCTCCTCCTCAAGTCGGGCCTGCTGGAGGGCTTCTCCGAAGGGCTTATAGGCGACCCGTCCTCCTCCTCCTCCTCCTCCTCCTCCTCCTCCCTCCTCCTCCTCCTCCTCCTCCTCCTCCTCCTCCTCCTCCTCCTCCCTCCTCCTCCTCCTCCTCCCTCCCTCCTCCCTCTCCCTCCCTCCCTCCCCCCTCCCTCCCTCCCTCCCTCCCCCTCCCTCCCCCTCCCTCCCTCCCCCCTCCTCCTCCCTCCTCCTCCTCCTCCTCCTCCTCCTCCTCCTCCTCCTCCTCCTCCTCCTCCTCCTCCTCCTCCTCCTCCTCCTCCTCCTCCTCCCCCCATTTCCCCCTCCCTCGTGCCAGTGTGCGGTCCTGGCCCTGTGGGCTCCGTATATTGGCGGCGAGGGCGAGGGTGGGGGGACTGTGCGCCTCTTGTTTCCCCGCTCGGGGGAGCGGATGGGTCAAGCGTAATTTATCAGTCCCCAGGGGGGCGCCCTCTCGGCTGCGTGCCATATCGGAGGGTTGCCCTTGATGGTGCAGTGCGGCTTTGCCAGATTGCAGAGGCCGCTAGGATGGTTGTCGTTCTATGTAGCGCCACTCAGAGTTCCGAGCGTTGCGAGGGTCCCAGGTTTCACGCCGCTAGAGCCGAGCAGACAAGCGAATTCCACGAGCCCGATCCCGATCCCGATCCCGATCCTCCTCCTCCTCCTCCTCCTCCTCCTCCTCCTCCCCTCCTCCTTATCCTCCTCCTCTCTCCCTCTCTCCTCCTCCTCTCGTCCTCCTCCTCCTCCTCCTCCTCCTCCTCATCCTCCTCCTCCTCCTCCTCCTCCTCCTCCTCCTCCCTATAGATAGCGTCCCATCGTCTGACCACCAGACGTGTCGACAGGGCGGGCAGGGCGTGTCGCCTGAGTTTTCTATCCCGCCTCTGACCCGAACATTCCAACCGTGACACGGATGGGGGGCTCATGTTGAAGTTGCGGCGTTCGCCTCAGCGCCGCACGCATTCGTTTCAAACGGTTCCACCTGTTACATGGATGGAGGCTTGGTTGTTTTCGAAAGGTTATGTTCGCCGTTGCTCCGCGCACCTTCGTTTCCAGAGTTTCCAGCGAGGAAGGGGGCCAGCCCGTTTGTGCGTTGATGCGGCTCTCGCTTGAGAATTTCTCGAGTGATTGTAAGTACATCACGGTGTCTATTGTATGCAAGAGTTGATTGGATGGAAAATGGTTGCGATGTCCGCACATGTTATGCCTTGGATTCTGAACATGTGCGAAACGTACACGGTTGCAGGGCAGACCGCAGATCTTGTTCAAAGCGGAGATCTCATTGGACATATATCTGAGCGTGTTAAGTTAAGTTTCTTGTGTTGCGTTTAGTTAGCATGTTGGAGGGTGGACCCTCTACATGACGGGGTCTCGCAAGAGTCGCATGACCATCGGGCATTCGTCATTCAAGGGGGGCTTCTCCCGCAGTGGAACGGAACACATGTAGGGATTCGCGAAGCGGGGGCTTGGGACGAGAGGGTGTATTGCACCTCCTCCTCCCGCCCCCCTCCTTCTCCTCCTCCTCCTCCTCCTCCTCCTCCTCCTCCTCCTCCTCCTCCTCCTCCTCCTCCTCCTCCTCCTCCTCCTCCTCCTCCCCCTTCGTTCAACGTCCTCCCCCTCCCCTTCTCCTCCTCCTCCTCCTCCTCCTCCTCCTCAGCCTCTTCTTGTTTCTCCTCCTCCTCCTCATCCTCATCCTCATCCTCCTCCTCTCCCTCCTCCTCCTCCTCCTCCTCCTCCTCCTCGTTCTCCTCCTCCTCTCCTCTCCTCCTCCCCCCTCCTCCTCCTCCTTCTCCTCCTCCTCCTACTTCCCCCCTCCCCCCTCCTCATCCTCCTCCTTCGTTCTCTCTCCTCCCTGCTTCGCCACCCCCTCCTCCCCGGCCCGTTGGCGTGCGACGGCCGCTTCCGTGGTAAGATCGGCGCACCTCGTCGGCCGCAGCTCCAGCGAGCGCCTAGCCGCGAGCGCCCGGTGCTGGGTTCAGACCCGCCAGAAGCGCCAGATTGTTGACCGCATCTGGACGATGTTGGACCGAGGCGCTGCCCGCCGCGCGCGCGGAGTCCCTCCTCCCTCCTCCTCCTCCTCCTCCACCTCCTCCTCCTCCTCCTCCCCTCCTCCTCCTCCTCCTCCTCCTTCGTTCAACGTCCTCCCCCTCCCCTTCTCCTCGTCCTCCTCCTCCTCCTCTTCCTCCTCCTCCTCCTCCTCTCTCCTCCTCCTCTCCTCCTCATCCTCTCCTCCTCCTCCTCCTCCTCCTCCTCCCTCCTCCTCCTCAATCCTTCGTTCAACGTCCTCCCCCTCCCCTTCTCCTCCTCATCCGCCCCTCCTCCTCCTCCTCCTCCTCCTCCTCCTCCTCCTCCTCCTCCTCCTCCTCCTCCTCCTCTTCCTAGCCGTTCTGGCTGAAGCATCTTTCAGCTTGCTGTCACTGACACTTCAGAACGGCTGGGTGACAGCGGGCCTTTTTGGCGCGGTATCACTCCCAAGACGGCACGCGCGCAATGGGGCCCAAGGCTCGGTCTGGCGGTGGCGACAACGCTCGTGGCCCTCGCTGGACCTGCCGCCATTGCGGGTGCAAGCGTAACGAGAGCTACTACAGCTACTGCAAGCACTGCAAGAAGTGGTGGAACGCCCCCGTCGACGACGGCTCTGCGGGCACGTGGACGTCGGCGTCGACGACGGCACGAGGAGACCCAGCTGCCCTTCGTCGCGAGGCTGCTGGAGTCGCCGCTGGTCAGGCCACCACGGCAGCTGTTGCCGCAGCCCCTTCTTCCTCGGCGAGCAAGTCTGACTTGGAGCAGATGGTGCAGCTGTGCGAGAGAGTGGGCAACCAAGCGCTGCTGCAGCAAGCCCAGCAGGAGCTTCAGAAGCTCAAGGAGTCTTCAGTTCCACCTCAGGAGCGTGCCGATGCCGCTCACAAGGAGATCGCGAGGCTCGAGAAGAAGCTGGACAAGGACCTCAAAGCTGTCCACTCGGTGGAGCAGAAGCTTGAGACCTTTCGTGCCCAGCTGGGGTCGACCTTGGCTGAACTGGATAAGTATGATGCTGAGTATAAGGCGGCCATTGCAGAGCTGCACCTCACAGTGTCCAAGCCCCAGGTCCAGCAGCAGCAGCAGTCCCTGCCCACGATCAGCCTCACCGACATCCTGGAGGGCCGCCTCGCAGGTTTGCAGGTGGACGACGGGAACTTGTTCGGGCTCGAGGACTATGTTGAGGTGTCTGCAGGAGACTTGGAGGAGGCAGCGCGTCGCAAGAGTCAGATGGCCGACTGCATCAAGGATACGTGCACGAAGCTGTTCGGAGAGCTCAAGCAGCGCGCCGAGGAGCACAAGACTGCGCACAAGGAGCAGCAGGAGCGCCTGGCCCACAAGCGTCGTCGCCAGGGTGATGAAGGCGGTGATGCTGCGAATGCCGTTGGAGCTGCAGCTGCTGGAGATGCACCTACTGCAGCTGGAGGTTCGGCGGCGGCGGCTTCTGACGGTGAGGCTGCGCGTGCCCCTGCAATTGCTGGTGGTGGAGCCCCAGCGGCTGAGGCGGCTGCGGCAGGCAAGGCGCCTCCGCCCGCTCCGCCAGTCAAGGCAGCGGGCCCCCCAGCAGCCCCAGCAGATGTGCGAGCTGCTGCCCGCCAGACGGTCCAGAGGGGCGCTCAGGCTCCCAGGGCCGCGGCGGCAGCGAAGGCTCCGTCTCCAGGGTAACCGAGCCAGGACGGACTCCACCTTCCCCATGATCCCTTCTTCTTGCCCAGTTTTGGATGATTCGAGCGTTTCGGGACATCACTGGCGGCGAGACGGATCCTCTTGGGAAAAATCTTGAATTGGAGTTCGTCACGGCTAACTGTACCTCTTGGAGTTCCCTCAAGAAGTTTTTAGCCTTGACCACGGCGCACGTCGTCATGTGTCAGGAGCACAAGCTCATCAGCGCCGAGGACCTGCGTAAGGCCCAGGCATGGTGTGTTCGAAACGGTTGGAAGGTGCACTTTGAGCCTGGAGTTTTGGGACCTGGAGGGGGTCCGCCCTCGGGAGTCGGGGTCCTGGCTCGGTCCTCCCTGGGACTTCACTACCCTGAGTTTGGGCCTCGGGTGAAAAATCATCGAGCCACGGGTGTGTTAGTCCATCTCCCTGGTCAGGCTAGTTTCTATGTTATGAGTGATTACTTGCAGGATTGCGCTGGTCTGAACGATCTCAATCGAGAGACCCTGGCGTGCATTGCTTCGAGAGCCAAGAGCCTATCGTTGCCTTATGTGATCGGGGGTGATTTCAACATGGAGCCTTCGACTTTGTGCACCTCGCGGGTCCCCGACCGCCTTGGTGCCGAATGTTGCGTTCCCTCGGGTGTTCTAGGCACGTGCAGGTCTGCTGGAGGATTGAATATGTACGATTATATGTTGGTTGAGGCCAGAGTTGCCCAAGCTATTGCGAGCGTGAAGATTATCGCGGATTCGGAGTTGGCTACCCACGACCCCGTCTCGGTTAAACGCCACCCTCAGCTTGCGTCTCTTCGGGCCCTCACGTTTTGCAGCCCCCCTCCGCCCCCCGAAGAACGGCCTCCTGGCCCCCTGCCCCAACCATCTAAGGATTGGGATTTAGTGTCTCGCATGGCCTCCCGAGCCCTTGCTTCGGCCGAGAATGGCGACACTGATAGAACCCAGTTCAACCTTGATGTGTTGTATCGCGAGTGGGGTGCGGCTGCTGAAAAGGAGCTCGAGGGTGTTTTTCAGACCCAGCTGCCAGTTCATGGCACGAGAGGCCGCCAGGCTCAGCCGCACTGGGTCAACGTCGCCGACGCGTCGCATCGCTCGATGGCGGGTACTTCGCGGACTTCGCGAGAGGCTACCAGTTTGAGGTGGCTGTGCTCGCGCTACCGCCTTTGGCTCCAGCTGTACGGCCTCGGTTGTCAAGATCGAGATTGCCAGGTGGTGCCTCTCTCCTCCCCACCTTTTGCATGTAGCGGTGTCGAAAAACGGCGCAGCGTTGCGGGGGTCAGCGATAG